AATTTCTATATTTATTTTATTTTATTTATTTATTTTATTTATATCCCGCCTATCTAGCCAACTCAGGGCCACTCTAGGTGGCTAACAATCATCAAATAATTAAAATATACATATATAAAACAGCAAATAATATATGTGTCTTAATTAACTATGCCTACATACACTGCATCAGTCAATCCCCCCCCCAGACATTTTGATTCCTGAGTCTGCAAAGCCTGCTTCCCTTGTGGTGTGTCTGCTTCTCTTTCTCCCCTTTCTGTTCTGTACTAGCAGGGTTCACACATGCACTCAAACAATGTCGCTTGCACAGGGTTGGCTTAGGCCTTCCAGGAAAAAAAATTGAGAGTTATTGCTGAAAATAGCCACCACACAGCTGAGCCCGGGTCCCCTGATATTCTTGGACTACAACTCCCAGCAACCTTCGCCACTAATTGGGCTGGCCAGGATTTTTGGGAGTTGTAGTGGGGAACCACTGGTCTAATGTTGAGCAAAATTATCAACCCCTTGATGCAACATCTTGATGCAATGCATTTCTGAATCCTTCTCTGCTTACTGTTGGATGCTGGTTGTCAGGATGAGAAAATGCTCAATGTACAGTCATCGAAGAAGACTGAGAGGAGATACGATAGCACTTTTCAAATGCTTGGAAGGTAATCGTACAGAGGAGGGACAAGATCTTTTCTCAATTATCTCAAGAGTGCATGATACATAATAATGGAACCAATTGCTTCAGGAGGTGTTGAGGGCTCCAACACAGGAGGCATTCAGGAGAAAATTGGACAGCCATCTGTTCGATCTGCTTTGATTTGAATTCCTGCATTCCTGAGCAGGGGGGTTGGGCTTCCATTATAGGCCCCTTTCAACTCCATGAGCCTAGGATTCTGTGACACTGTGGTTTTATGAAAACATAGTTAATTGTTTGTCATAGAGGTGGAGACCTGGAATGAAGATTCCATTCTGAGGAGCAGTCCGACATTTTGGATGAGACAAAAAAAAATCCATCTCGCCATAAAATGTGAAACAATCTTTATAAGACTGTCATAAAGATTTATAAGATAGTTAAAACAATCTTTATAAGATTGTTTCACATTTTATGCCAAGTTGGGTTTTTGTTTCATTCAAAATGTGTGTGTGTGTGTGTATATATGTATATATATATATATATATATATATATAAAGGGGGTCATTCCTAAGGCCATTGGTTCCATTGTCATACTGCTCGAACAGTTAAGAAGTTTTTCCTGATATTCAGCCTAAAATTGGCTTCCTGTAACTTGGGCCCTTTATATATATTCTAATGTGCCTATATATGTAAAAGCATTAGAATTATGTAAAAGCATTAGAATTGGCCATTTAGTCTTGAAGTACATGTAGTCAAATATACCAGTCCAGTTATATATATTTGACTGTGTACACTGTACATATATATATAAATTATTCATGAATACACAGAATGGTGTATTCATGAATAAGATGGGATGAGTCCAGGTACTGTAGAGGGGCTCACCTGAAAATTTTAGGGGATGTTTCTCCCCCCTGCCATACATACAGATACTGTGCCTGTCTTTCCATCATTCAAACGTCACTGTTTTACACAGTCCTTGGGCACCCCCAGCAAAACATTTTTGCTTCCAGAGACAGTTCAGCCTTGATTTGATCTAGGACCCACAGGTTGAACTAAAGCTAGAAGGGAGTAAAAATTATGGGAGAAGTACAGCAAAAATCCCACTGGCTTAAAAACACACACACCCAACAAGCCCCCCTTCCCTTTGTTTTCTAAAGCCACTGTTCCTTCCAGATTAATCTCTCTCTTTTTCTTTAGTCTTTTCAGATGGGTTGGTAGAACTGAAATCCCTTTAAGCAGTTTGAACCCTTGCAAAGTTAGCCAATTTTCAACACTGCCAGGTAAATTAAGCTGGTTCCGGGAGGGTGGAATACCTTGGCTTCTGATTCATATGCAAAACTTTGCAGATTTCCCTCCAATTCACAGTCCCCCTGAGGGAGAGGGAGGGAGAAGTTTACCTTGAACTGACATACTGGTCAATTTACCTCCCTCCTGTTTACCAGCATGAATCCCAGTCACCTTTGCAGGCTGGAGTCCTATCCATCCTTGCTGGAGAGCAAGCCCATAAACACACCGCAGGGCTTACTTCTAAGGAGACCTTTGAATTTCCTTTTCACAGGGTAACCAACCCCGGTCTCTGGCATACACAGAGGGCATCTACACTGCGCAGTTAACCAATCCTGCTTAACAGACGATGTCCCTCGGAAACGGTCCTCACCCCAAATAAACCTCCTTCTCCCCAACTTCTGAACCTTGGGATTTTAACTCATTTCCTCTCACCCGGGCAGGGGGACCTGCTTCCCAAAAGATTTGATTGCCTGCCTTTCATCACCAAGGGTGCAGCTTGAGCTTCTCTCTGTACTCACAAGTCAACATGATGAGTTCACTGACACCCATTTCGATGCCATTGCGTGTACCACTTAAGTATTCTAACAACAGACACAGGACAGATGCTGCCTAACATCTAACACTGGTATCTTATTCCCTATTTAGCATTAAGATTTTTACAAAGCCTTTTAGACACTTCCTACACACTTATGTCCCGATGCTTCTATGAAAGACAGTAAAATCGGACTACAAAATCTGCACTCCTCCAGATCTGGATGGACTACAAATCCAATCATGACTTGCCAGTAGTGTCAACAGGGAGAAGAGTGATGGATGTTGCAGGCCAATCACGGCAGGAGAGCAATCAAAAGCTCCCTGTGCTGAAAGAACCCAGCATTTGGTATCTGTCTTTCTGGGCATCACTTGTGGATACTCGTATAGCTGCAAGGGTGTTGTTTAGAGATACGACAAATAGTTTAAAACTTTCTCATTCTCAGTGGGGGTTTTTGAGTATCACCCTACTGAGTGTTCCTCCTCTAACAGGGAGATTTCCCGGCTTCTCATCTTATTTTCTCCTCCCCTCCCCTCTATCTCAACTGTCGCTCAGCCCGAGAAATGGCCACGTTCTGCCCGACTGAATGCCCTTTCTTCTGAACCCTGCGCAGGAAGGAGGCCACACTGCGCAGGACTGGCAACCGTCCTGCACAGTGTACGGTTTCTTCCAGGAAAAAAAAAAGGATTACACAATGTCTGAGAAATCCGGTGAAATTTCTCAGAGGGGAGGGGAAGCTCAGGGAGAGAGATTATTCACTCCCCCCTTGGAGAGCAAGAAGCAGGTGTCATAAATCTCCTTCCAAATAGCAAGAAAAAACTAGGACCTTTTGCAGAACGAAACTGCTTTTCCTTGGTTTTCCCGCTGTATCATTTGAGACAATTTCCCCCCTTCTTCGAACCCTGGAAGACCTTCTGTCATCCAGGCTGAAAAACAGCTCGGGAAGTGGCCTCCTAAGCACTTTTTCCTACCAGCTCATCCTCAGGAGGAGGAAGAAGTGGAATCAATAGCTAACAGCACTAAGTAATAAGGTCCTTGGGGGTGTCACAGATCATATCTGAAGCCAAGGTAAGGTGCCGTCTTAAGCTCCACCAAGTTGCCCTTCAGTGGCTAAAACCACCCCCTCACCCCTACCTCTTATTCCAGCATTATCATTCCCTTCTCTGCTTGTTTGTTCGGCCCATCGACAGGAAAACAGAAACTCTACCAAAGGATTTTCCATAACAGAGACCAACAATACACGTTGAAGAACAGTCTAGGGATCAAGAGTAGAGAGATCCCCTTTGTATGGGCTGGATTTAAAAAAAAAAGATTTTCAAAGCCATCAAGAGACTAGGAGAGAAAACGAAACCGTCCTCCTTCCTGAGAGTAAGGGATCCCCCCACTCCCCCGTCGCAGTGGGGTTTACTGGCGAGTAAACCAGGCGCTGGTCTGGAGCGCCCGCTCGGGTCTCAAGGACGGCCAAGGCGCGCAGGCGGTTCCCTCCTGCAGAGGGCGCCCGAGTTCCACACTTCACGCCCTCGCTCGCTTGCACAGTTTCTGTTTTAAAGAATAAATAAATAAAATATAAACGGTTGGACCAGGGATATAAAATAATCACAGGAGAGGGAGATTCGGATCCCTCTCTCCCTTCCGCCAAAGCGCAACCTTCCGTTTGCTGCTGGCTGCGCTCAGGACAGCCTTTCCTTTTAATCCAGATTTTTTTTAAAAAAAGAGAAAAAGAAAACAGTGCAATAAGCGGAGTTTGTGTCGTTCTTTCTTTCCCTTTCCTTTCTCCTTTCTCTTTCAACCTCGTGCTCCTTGAGTTCCCGAAAAGGACAGCGCGCCTGGTTTTCTCAACCCGCCTGTCTGCGGCTGGAGTCCCGATCAGCCCAGCCGCTGCCTCCTATCCAACACCGCATTCGTAAATTATTATTATTAATACTCTTATTATAAAGAAGCACATTTCCGAAAGGCGCACCGTTGCAGATTAGCTGCCCCCTCCCCCGGCACAAGGGGGGAAAAAAAATAACAGAAAAAAGCAACAAGAGTCACGCCTTAAGACGCAAGGAAATATTTCCAGCCCACCCGTTTGGGGTTGAAGGAAAACTTCTATGAACATCCTAGAACTGAAAACATAATTTGGGCTCAGTTTTTTTATAAAAACATTA